CCTGCGTCCGCTTTGCGGCCAAGTGCCCCTTCTACGGATTGGCTAGGCCAGCTGGGGCCGTATCTGCGGATGGGCTCCGCTCTAAACCTCAAAATTTCCTTTCTGTCCAGCGATCTCGCACCTGCGGGCCAAGGATCGCACCTACGACGTTGCACCTGCGGAATTTCAATCACAGGTGCGAAAATGACTTAAGTTCTTGGGTCCGCATCAGCGGAAAGAGGACTGCACCTGCGGATGCGATCCTGCGGACCCTTGTCCACTTCTGCGGTCCCTGACCGCACCTACGTTCTTTCACTTTAATTTGTTTACAGACATATGCGTCTGTAAACTAAAATCTCATTTTTCAAAACCTTGATATCGGGTCCCTAAACAATGGCCGTTCATAATTTTTTACTTTGGATATTATAGGATCGTTTAATCAAGAAGAGGTATCCCTAAATAAATTACCAACTCATTTAATACAATATATCTATGTTATGCCTATATTATCCAAATATTTACGACTTAGGTATAAAAGTAAATACAAATTTATACCTCTCTTGGAGTACTAATAAGGTTCATCTAAGAATTTCAGACCTTTTCCCCTGTATTTTCGCCTGCCATAGCCCAAGTCCGACGCCGTGGGACGAAGCCTGAATCGGATCTCCTAATATTTATCCGGAACATCAAATACGATCTAAGGAACCATAATCACCACCCCGCCATGACCAAATTATATTTTTTGGCATTTTAACACGGTTTTCTTATCCAATGATATACAACTTTTATATGTCCACTATTTAAAAAAAACAGATTTACATAGCTAACCCTCTATAATTCCGTTTAGTCCAAATTAGATTTCTTGTATTCCGGGAGATATGGAACTATAATCAAACATCTCCAATATGCTTGGCCTTGGAGTATCCAACTATCCAATTCATTAGATAGTTTTGAATCCCCCTCTATCCAGAGGTAGGCCTTGACCTACACTGTTTCCTCAATGTAGAACTTCAAATCCATTCTTAGTTGGCACAGAACACAGTACGAGAAAGTTTTGAAGGTTGAACTTTGGGCTTGTTGCTATAATTTTCCCTCTACTCTTTTCTATTTTCTCTTCTACTCTACCAACAGGAGTAACACTTTTCTCTTCATTTAGTTGTTGACTTTGCTGCTCGTCCTCCTTAAGTGGTTTTACTTGCTCTCCATCCGTTAAAGTTGTTTGCACAGGACCTTTGCATCTCCATTCTTGTGTAACAACTTTATTACTCCTTTTTATTTTATGTTGTGCATCTTGCTGATTATCCCCTTTCCCCTTTTCACGACATCCATGGCCAACTACTTGACATACTCTATAGTATTCAGGCTTCCAGTCATATGTCACAGTTTATTGAAAATACTTCCCTTTTGAATCAATCGCTGT